TTAAGATTTGCGACAGCTTTATCGATCGCGTGTGTGGTGAAAAGTATGTCACTTAAACATTCGTCTGTTTTACGTGGAAAATCCACGACCTCATCGTTCTCTAAGGTATATAATCTGGCGAAGTGCTTGCTAAACAGTTCACATATCGCCCCGGTATTCCCGTAAGCAATCCTGTCTAGGTATACTATTTTCGGATAAACTGTTTTGGAGTTCGTCAACCTACTTTTGAAAAGTTCGGCTATTTCTCCTGAGTTATGCGGTGCCTGAATGGCTCTCATTTCTTTGTTTCTGAGGCCTATATTTCTCAACTCTTCAATTCTATTGAGAAGGGACTTAATAGCAATTAGTGATGACAAGTCATGATATCTGTAGTATTTTATTGAGTGCTTTCGTAGACTTCTCCTAAACGATGTCGGAATATAATCGCTTTGGGGGAATCTGAAGCTAAGAATCTTCTCAGGTACAATGACGTCATGAATTGAGTTAATATTCTGATACAAGTTGTTAAGAATTGCCTCTAAGGACTCGTTCGAAAAGTACGAGTCCCAATTAGGACATCCAATTAGGTGATGATACAATTCCCAGTCAGCATGTGTGTACAATCTCATAGGTGTCTGGCCAGCTTCATCTCTGCGTTTTGTTTCAGGAAAGATGTCAAAAGAACACACTACTATTTTATGGTCACTACCTGGAAATTCATGTCCCACATGTACTGTAGATGGTTTTATGTTGTTCGTGAAAATAAGGTCTAGGATATTTGCGGATCTAGTGGGTGAATTTATGTGTTGTGTCCACCCTCCTGTGACGATGGCATTCAGGAGATTATCATACCTTTAGGGTCCTCGGAGTGAAGACAATGATACTTCTGGCATGTTGAAATCACCTCCGATAATTTTATAACTGTGGGGAAGATTGGCTGTAACATTAAAAATATTGCTGAGCATATTATCATATTCCCTGTTGGATGAAGGGGGTCGGTACACACAACCCACAAGTATAGGTTTACTTCTGACGACTTTTATTTCAATCCAGATCGAGTCATTGAGTTGTGACAGAATTGGGTTACTGAGCTGGGTTGCACATAAGGATTGTTCCTGTCCCCTCGGAAAAGGTTGTATTTATCAATCCTTAGGCTATCATTAAGATATCACTTGTGCACCAGACTTCAGTGATCATAATCAATGACGGTCTGCATATAGAAGCTAATGTACTTAGTGTTAAGTGTTTGCTTAGAACTGATCTCGTATTTACTAGGATAATAGATAAACACTGGTTATGTGGTTTCAGTGAGTGGACAACATCTTGATAAAACAATCCATGAGTATCCTCTATATGCATGTTATTAGACTCATTTGGTGTCGACACAGTGTCAGCTATCTCCCAGGAAATATGCCTTGCCCTAGCTGTAGACTGTTCGCTATGCTGGCAAGGAATTGATCCGATATCATGCGTGCTATATGCATGATGCCAGGTATTTCTGTTAACTGGCGCTGGTGAAAATCCTGCCCGAAAGTATAACTGATATGAGTATTCGGTAATTTGTTGCCAGTACAAGAATGAAGTGTTTGTATTTGTTCCGGGTAGTCATCAGACCATGGCAAGTTTTGTGCAGAAATTGGCACATGCTTCCTACTAGATACATAGGATGTATGAGTGGGTTCTGTTGGCTTGCTAAATGTAGTCTGTGGCCGATGTTTGGGGGATTTTCTATAACTTTCAGTTGATAGAACATTAGAAGGGAGTTGGCTAACAATGGGTTTACGTAGTGGATGAGCAGAATAATACCTACTACCTTGCTGTGCTGTTTGTCTAGAATTAGTGGTAGGGAATGACTGACTTTCTACTTGACACCATCTAGGCCTATCTCTAGGAACTAGGTCTACCATATTTGACTTTCTCTCAGGATGATGATTCAGAGGTGCTTTCGTCTCTATCATGTCAAAGGGCTTTCTTACTCCGGGTTCAGTATTTAAATTTATTTGCTTCTTTTTACCTTTTCTTATGGTCAACTGGTTGATGATGGCTAACAGGGCAGCCAGCACATGCTATGTAGCGATTCTGTTGCTTGGACACCTCATGCGCTTTAGTTTTCTTAATGGAAATGGGACGTTTGTCATAACGCCTAGAAAACTTGCTAACTTCGGTAGCTACGTTCGACTGGTGCTTCACAGTGGATGGATTGTCAGACTGAGGAGTAAATGACCTAAAAGGGGATGGGTGGAACACCAGTGGGATGGGTTTTAATGGTTTCGGGCTCTTGACGTTTGTGTCAGCGTGAAAACGATGTATTTCAACATTATGTTCCGTTGACTCATCTATGTCCACCATTTCAGTGTCAGCATCAGTTTCGTTATATAATACTTGGCTAATATTAGTCTGTGCTTGAGAAAATGTCTGATGCATGCGGTCATCAGGTTTTTCAGTAGACGGAATAACGCATGGAACATCATCTACATTTGTCCTATTAGAGTTATCAGTATTCAGTGTTCCTGAGCGGCATCGTCTTTGGCACAGTGTTAAATCAGGTGCAAACTTAATGTTAGTATAGGGTGTTGAAGAGCCTATTATCTTACCAGCTTTCAGAAAATTCCTGGATTCTTCGACAGACCTGAACTTGAAAAGCACCGGACATGAGTGGTTTGCAGATTTCTTACGAAGACGCAAAACCTGACATTCTGTCAACGACATATTACAAGCCTTCAGACACGAAGCTTTAAGTTTGGCAATAGGCTCTCTGTCTGGAATGTTATAGGCCAAGACGTTATGTGAAGACATAATCCTCTTAACAGCTTCTTCAGCCAAATAGTCGATTATGCGCTCGGATTTGATAAGTGATTCAAGACACATGTTTTGTGATGGGTCACACAATCGCGCGAGGGGCATAATGCTGTCAAACTTGCTCTGTAGGTCTGCCATTGACTTCTGAAGTATCAGTAAATCATTTTTGCTACAAGCCGCATTCTCTGTCAGTTCACCCATGATATCAGACACCATAACTCTGGGTGAGTCTGGTGTCAAAAGTGTAGAATCGTCAACGGAGCTGAGGCCCTCAGATGGTTGACGAGCGTTAGATCTCAGTCTCTTAACTGTACTTACACGTTTGATTGACTTAACCATTACAGAAATAAGAATTTTCACAGTTTCCAGAACAAAAAAGTCTTGAGGATATAAAAAAAGATAGCTGTATTATCGAAGTATCAAAACTACGATAAACAGATATATTGCAAAATAAAAAGTCAGACTTTCCTTTACAGTGCTTGCTGTGGATAAAATCCTGAGTTCCACGTGGTTAGAGAGGGTATTAGAAGATTCCGGGTTGTAGATTTCACGGGTGAATACTATATGTAGTTTCAGGTGATACAATACAATCCTTGTTAAGTATGGATATGTGGATAATGTGAGGAAAGCGGCTAATTTCCAAAATAATAAGGAAAGATGATTCACGCAGAAACTGAACACCTGTAGCGCAGCAGTTCAAAAAACCTATACGACATATACGACATATTAAATTATTATTTACTTGGTGCTATACTTTAGAAAGTGGACAATGTGTGTGTGTCAGTGAAAACCTACAGAAGAATGTTGTCATGACCAAAGAATGAGAAAGGAGAATAAACCTTTTTCAGCAAAGGTAGGCAAATATAAAGCGTTTAACTTTTACATTACTTTTTTCTAACTCCAGCGATTTAAAAAATAAACTTTATTCACTTATTTGCAGATGTCCGGAAACGTCAATCAACCTGGTCATACCTATGAGCATTCTCCACCCTGTTGTTAGTATTGTTCCCCATGCTGATGGTGAACCGGTTGCACGATGCAGCCCAATATTTCCGTGTTCTCAGCCAGTACCTTCTGATGTAAGCACTAGCCTCAGCATCTATCATAATTATGAGGTTTAGATAACTCCAGAACCTTTGGTGATATATTCTGAATTATTAACCTACCTGTCATAACTGCGCGTGTGCACCATTCGATACAACCCCTTTTTAACAAGTTGATTTGGGAACTGTTTTCGCTATGTTAGTTAATGGGGATGAAGCTTACCTTCCTCCTGAATGCCTGGCATACGTGCAAAAGACTTAAAACAATACTGCACCTAGGGAATTTATCCTTCAGAGCGTTCACTTGTGCAGTTGAACAGTCGACAGTGAATGTTAGTGTCATAAATCTCTTAAGCGTCTGCAATATCTCCTTGATATCTGCAAAATTTCCTCTCCTAGTAAGAGCAAACAAAAACAGTCCTTCCTCTTCCGAATCCATTAGTCAAAACAAACTCATATAAAGGTCATCTGCAATAAATTTTGAGAAGGAATTATACCTTCTTGTACTGCAACTTACCCCCATCTTATTTGTTTTATGAGTACAATCAATTCCAACTACTTCTGGAAACTTATGATAGAGGTCTATCATATCATTGCGAGCGGAAATGATTTTCGATACGAAACCTGCATTGCCATGCAGAACACTTACTGGACCTCTCTGCCTCAGTCGACGAAGGAGGTCTTGTAAACCACCGATTTCTATTCTATTGCCCCATCTATCCCGATATGGCTTACGTTTATTCATCCTAGCCGGCATGTTTTTAATATCATTATACACGAGGGCTTTGCTGAATTTCTCATGCGCTAAATCTATGATTTCATGGACATCAGTGTTCCTTTCAATAAATGGTTGCACAACTGTCATTTCATCTGATGATAGCCGACGTCTAGATATATCCATAGACATGAAACTTGCTGTGCATGGAAGGTTATGCACAATTCGGTAGTTTGTTATCTTGTATCCTTCGGATGAACGCCATACTGTAATTGTTGACTGACATGAAATACTTTTAAACCTTAAAGTTTTTAAAATTCACACGCACAGCCAACTTACCCTCTGTTCCTGAAGCCAGCACCTCGGGGAGCACGTTTACCTCCAAAAGTGCGTTAATACCTCACATACTCATGTTCCATAGGGCCGAATGTGTCTTTTTTACTTGAAGCAACCCAATAGGATGTGTCGGATTCATGTCAAAGAAATAATGAACAATTCAGTTATTACTTTCATAAATGCGTCAAAAGCTCGCTTAAATTTTACCCACGTATAAAATACACAGAAAAGCATTATTCTTCCGAATATAGTCGCTACATCAGACAATATAGATGACACATTTTGTAAGGTAGAGGCAGTAGGAGTATTTTGTAACATCATTTAATGGTTTAAACAACTCCTAACGAACACAACACAACGATTTCAAGTAAATGAACAACAGCGTATATTTCAGTGCTCATATATCGCTGTTGTGACCTAGTAAATTGTAGTTGATTTATGCTAACCTAGTGGTCAGAAATCACACAGGCCACTGAAATGACAACTTAAAAAAGTGAATCAATTAATACATATATATGCCCTAATCAAAGACATATATTAAATGTTTGGAAATTGTAGTTGAATTATATTAGTCTAGTATGTAAAAAAGGCATAAATCCAATTTAATCTAAAAATAAATGTATCAAAATTATTGCTAATTTATATTCACTTCCTAGAAATTCTTATACATCTCAATGTACATTAAACATCGCTAATGCATCCAAAAAGCATGCGAATTATCACACTACACTTACAACAAAAAATTAACGCGCTATTATATTATAGCAAATCTTTAAATAGACTGCCTGTTAATTTTCGTGTGAAATAAAAAACTACTGCTTTGACTTATATTAAAGACAAAACAGAAGCCAACCAGCCAACAGCCAATCAAAAACCGACAATTTCTATATTTTCCGTGATACACTAACAAAGACAGACACACGCACTTATACACATACATTTACGAGGGTGACCAATGGCATTCGAATACAGTCAAACGCATAAACTGACCTATAATCTGTTATTGTCACTTCGACGATGATAATATATGGGGCCAATTTACTTCCTATTAATGTCACACATGCAACTAAAAATGCCCTGAGAGAATAAATAAACCAACCTGTGTGACTCATTCATCCACAAATAAATTTTTTATGTGGGTTGAAGCTTATTGACCAGTCACTAGAGTCGATGAAAACATCAGTGGTCAATGTTAATTGTTGCGTCACATTTTGTTCATGTGAATTCAAGTCATCCAGTACGCGCTCACTTTAAAACTACACCATGCAGGTAAGTGATCGATGCAGTACCTTGTAGCGTTTTCCTAGCTCTTATTGCCCTTGGTGACTCTAAACAATAGCAGCCCTACCTAGCGAACGGATAAATGATACTGACAACGACAACGTTCACCAATCAGACGCGTCTATGGTAAAAGCGCATAATTTGTATAAAACGTTTATGTTAAAAAATAGTTACAAAGGCTAACGTTCTCGTATATTTCCCAAAAAAACTCCCAATTTCTCATAGGAGTCTTCATAGTTATGTTAAACCAAGCCCTGTACATAAATTCATCGAGATAACTGTATATCATTGTATTTCTTGATCCATTCACAGATCTGATCCTTTGTTGAGGTGACTCCGAAAAATTTCGATGTGAGTTCCATCGAAAGGATGATGAAATCATTTGTATGGTTGACAACGTGATGAATATAACCCAGGGTTGGTAGCTGACTATAACTACTCCATTCATCTGTATGAATAGTTGTTCCAGGCATCACTGAGCGTTGGATTATAGACAATAAGACATTAGCACTGCGATTAAGGATCGCCTCAATGTATCCTTTGTGGTACGTTCAACGTTTGCGTTACATTTTAGCTTGATTCGCTATATATTTCTATTTTTGCTGTGAGACTCGCACAAGTGTCTTTCCAGTTCCATAATTGTAACCAATAACTTTCACTAATTAGTTATGGTTAATCATACAAAAAAAGCCACGAACTCAGTCACCTGTTAACCTGATTACTGATAGTACATATATGTTCGCAACAACGAGCAACGAAGTGAGATGCACAGCTTGCCAATACGCCGTAAGCGTCGAATTGCTGTAACACTACCATCTACTGTAGCCGGAAGTAGTAGTAGCGTTGCTTCTACAAACTCAGCACCTGGTCCTGACATAGACCTCTTCACTTCACCTTATGTACGTGTCACAAAACTTCAGATACCAAGTCCAGCTTCAACACTTACTTCAGAAATAGAACGACTAAAGCTGTCTGTAGAAGGACTGAAGACTGAGATGCGGGACATAAGGTGTAGTAAGGCTATGAATGCAGGATGTTCAGAAAATTTGGCCAACATATCTGAACTATCAACACAGATTAGTGATATAAAATCGCAGTTCTGCGAACTTGCACCTCTGAACATCCTGACCAGGACCATGAACCCTGGAGAACTTGACACAGAATCAGTAACTAAGGTAGACACCTTAATAAACTTCATCACAACAGAGGTTATCAAAAGACTTGATACTAAACTAAGTGTGATTGTCTATAATATACCAGATAGTGAGGGTTCAAAGTATCTTACTTGGGGCGGCGAAAATGCCTAACTCCCAAACAAAATGTCACAAACTGAAGAAGAGTCAGCACGACCACTGCTGTCCTATACACCTTCAGTTTGAAACTCAGACAGAGGCTAAGAAATTCACCAATACGCAACGTATCTTATTACAAGACACAGGCTACAAACAAATAGTTGTAGCAGATAAGACAGTGATTGAAAGGCGTGCTTACAATCACCTCAATAAACCCAACGGCAAGACACCGCAAGTCACTAAAATAGATAAACCCAAGGCCAACATGGTAGAACTTACAAAAATAGCTCCACAGAAAGCCAAACCAAACGAAAGACTTGTGAGCTATAATCTTACTCTTAAATTAACCTCTCCTCCCCCTATCGTGGATCTAGATATGTCTCTGGACAGCCATAAGATGGAAACCAATCCCTCTTGTAAGTCGACAACATTCTCTCCTAGCCAAAACGTGACAACCTAAATGGAATTCGGTAATAAAACATGCCGAAATACGCCACTTGTTACGAAAATCCCCAACATTTTCAAACTCCTAAGAATAACCCACGCTTTAAGGTAAATAATACTCAAAACTATGCTAGCAGCCAAATTAAAAAACACAAATAAGGACATAGGGTCCAAGGACAATAACGACACAACCTACTCGCATACTGTGCCAAGTCACACTAGTAGCTGGTGTAGTGACACTATCACGCAAAATAGTATAAGTGACAACACTCAGAGCTCAGCCACCAACCACTCAGGGTCTTCAAAGTATGACACATAAACTAACTTTGACAGATTATACGGAACAAGTCTTCTGGGAATCAAACTGCAGTGCAGCAATGCATATAACGAAACTCACGTAAGGTCAGCTAGGAGGTCTCCAAACAATGGACAGATTATTAAGTTATGGGCATCACAAGGTATCAATGATTTTTTATCCACCACATCCCTGTCAGTGCTAACCAAACAGCTGGTGGGGATGTTAACTTTTCTGAACCCGTACCACTAATATCGGCTCCCTATCGGGAACTCAACTCTACTTAATCCTTATTAATGCTAGATCTATCCTAAACAAACTACTGATGCTCAGGGCACACATGCTGGTATACAACCCCCCAATAATTATTGTTACCGAGTCCTGGTGTCACTCCAATATACGAGACGAAGAGATAGGCATCGATGGGTACACACACTTTCGATGTGACAGGAACAGTGGTAAGGGAGAAGGCTGCCTGGCGTGCTTCCTGAACACATTTACTGCATTTCAGCTAGAAAATAGGAAACTGAATGACATGCACGACACCCTATGGGTCAACACACACCTCAAAAGTGCTACACTACTAATAGGATGTATCTACAGAGCACCTGGCACCTATAGTGATTACGAGACATATATTTCTACTTAGTCCTTTTATGTATCTATGCGACTAGTTTATTTATCGTTTATAGAGTAATTAGGGTATTTAAGCGCGTCATTTTAGGTACTGTAGTAAACTAAAAATTGATTCGTTCTAGGAACAAATAGTTTATTAATGTAATCAGTAGAGTGAAACAGTCTGTACAGAGAGTGTTTGAAACTTATAACCGAGGTGCAAGTTCTGACTTCTAGGGGCAGGCTGTTCCATATTTTAAAATTTATGACTGTGAAGAAGTTTTCGCGGAGTGTTTACCCAAAGGCTTTTATTGTCACTGTGCAATTTTGGTTACGCAGATCGTAAGAGCCTTCCTGTGCGAATTGTATGTCCTTACTGTCTGAGAATGATATTTTGTATAGGACCTTAAAGAAGAATACTAGATTTATAATAAGTCGTCTTGTCCAGAGTGATCATGCACCGTGAGATGTAGTCTTTCTTACAATCGTAGCCAAGTAGTTTGGAGGTAAAATATCGTTGGATACTTCCTATCCTTAGCTTGTCACGTGTACGAGTGCTGCTAATAATAAATGGACAGTATTCTAGTAGTGGCCTTACACATGTTTTGTACAGAATTAGCCTGGCTTCATTGTCGTGAAAGTTCCTGAGTATGCATCCTAAGAGCATCCTCGACTTTCGAGTCTGCGATGCCGCTTGCTCAGAAAATGTTAGGTTACTCGAGTACCTCAGGCCTAAGTCAACGACACTTTGGAGTCTGGTTAGGTTAGCCGATTGAAGCGTTAATTTCATGTCGATTGAGGGTGCGCCGAAGCAGATCCAGCCAGATTTTTGAAGGTGAAATTCTAGATTACATAAAGGCGACCAAGTAGTCACTTTATCTTTCTCTCTGCACAACATTCTCAAAGCACCCTAGGTCATCACATTGGAATGTATAAGCTACTTTTAGGTCATCTGCAAAGATGAATGGTTTCCCATGTGAGAAGCAAGCGCATATGTCGTTAATATATAGAGTAAATAGGAGGGGTCCAATGACAATACCTTGTACTACACCAGAGGTGATTGGGCTAGGTTCGAAGTTATAGATCCGAGTTTAACTATTTGGGACCTGTTTTTAAGGTGTGATTTAAGTCATCCTAATAGTGGGTCACGTATTCCTAAGGAGTTCAGCTTATGTATTAACAGTCATTGGTCGACACGGTCAAATGCCTTTGAGATGTCAAAGTAGATGACAAGTACTAGTTGTCGTCTGTCACGACTGCTGGTCACAAAATTAAAAAGAAGTCTAGGTGGCATGTTAAACAAGATCTGGATTTTAGGAATGCATGTTGGTTCGGACTTATAATGTTGCAGCTAAGCATATGCTTGATTAGGTTATCTTTAACTAGTCTCTCCATAATTCTAGATGCTATAGGTGTGATATTGATCGGCCTGTAGTTACTGACTTCTGTTTTCGAGCCAGATTTGTGTTTAGGCATAATAGACGTTGTTTTCCACACATCAGGGTAAGTTTGGGTTTCTAGGGACATTGTGAATATTTTAAGCAGTAGTAAGGGAATGTCAGGGCCACCATATTTCGAAAAATAGGATGATATACCGTCAGTACCAAAACCTTTTGAGCATTTTAGGGTTCTTATAGTTTGTTTAATGTTAGTATAGTTAAATTCAACAGTACTAATTAGGTTTGGTGTCAGTGGAGATGGGGGAGTTTGTGCCATATTAGTAGCAGGGTGTATATTGAGTAACCGGACTGTGGGCTTAAGGTAGTTACCTGCAAAAGTTGAGTTAAATAATTGACACATGTCTGCAGAATTAGTACATAGCCTACCTTTGTCTACGAGGAGGGAAATGCTGTGATTTTTGCGATTCATTCGCTTCTTTAAGATTTCCGTGAGTGCATACACTCTAGCAGGACTGGCTACTGCGATGCGTTCTTCGTTTCTCATACGAAAATTTCGAGCTTGTGAGATGGAACTAAGGGTGTTAAGTAATAAACCTAGTGTGCCAAAGTCGTGGTGTTTGAAGTAACTTGTTGAGAGTTTCTTCAGACACCGTGCTACTAATATGGCACAAACTCCATCTCCACTGACACCAAACCTAATTAGTACTGTTGAATTTAACTATACTAACATTAAACAAACTATAAGAACCCTAAAATGCTCAAAAGGTTTTGGTACTGACGGTATATCATCCTATTTTTCGAAATATGGTGGCCCTGACATTCCCTTACTACTGCTTAAAATATTCACAATGTCCCTAGAAACCCAAACTTACCCTGATGTGTGGAAAACAACGTCTATTATGCCTAAACACAAATCTGGCTCGAAAACAGAAGTCAGTAACT